GAGATCAGTTGTGTGAGTTCTAGGCGATTTATTAAATAATAATTTTATTAGTTTGTTTTGCGTAGTTTGAAGAGTTTTGAGGTCCTTTCTTTTTGCTTGTCCCCAAAAAGCAGGGAGATACATCAGGTGGGAACCAATATACGCATTATAGACTAGATACTTTGTTCTGTTATTTATTAGAGTTGAATTCTTACGAAGGTAATAACTAATTGAAGATATTTTAGTTTTTAAAGTTTTTATGTGCTCACTAAAATTTAGGGAATTATCTAAATTTAGTCCTAGATACTTAGCACTGAGTACTCCCAAGCAGCATTTTTGGTTCCAATAACCATTGCCAAAGTGGTGATAACTTTAAATTAGTTAATTATACTAAACAGCTACTTTAATTTTTACTTAAAAGTAACTCTAACTTTTAAATAGCAATATTTTGTAACAGAAACTTAATTTTTCCTTAAATGGTTACTATAAAGTAATAAACATTTAAGTAAAACTTGGTTGCCCCCAAGAAGACTTTGCAACTTTAAAAAAGGTGTTATAAGTAAAAAAAACTTTAAAGTAAATTTAATTTGTAGCAGTTACCTTCGGTTGCTACCTAAAGATTACATTATAATTATTTTTACTTTGTAGTCGCTTTTCAAGTTAAAATCTCGAAACAGGAACATGAGTTAAAAACTACAAAGTTAATAACTTAAAAGTTATTATTTTAGTATTTGGAACGTTTATGGTACTAACCAAAACAACGGTAAAGTGGAAAAAACTTTAAAGTAGCGAAAACTATTTCAAAGGAAAATGCTTCTTATCGGCCATTTTTTACTGTACAGTACCACGTGGTAATGTAAATAATAAATTATTTTAATTGTTAGTAAATGGTTGTTAACTTTTTAATAAATAGTAATTTTGTTGGTAGTAGACGGTATTAATAATTAAATAAAAAAATTAATAATAAATATTAAGATTTTTTTATTTATAAACATTATTAAATAAATAATTTGTTTATACTTAAATATTGATGAAGCGCATTTATTTTACAAAAACTAAATTCATAAGTTCAACAGTAAAATTTAAAGGGTTTATAAATTTACCTGCCTAATTAAACATTATATTGTTATTCTGGAAGTTATAAACTACCAGTACATATTTAATAAACGACGACATTGAAAAGCCAAGTCCGTAGTGGTTCCATTTAAAAAAGGAGGGATAGTATAATCTAATATAAGTTTGACAAAGACAGTTAATATAGAAGTAAAAACAAATAAATAAAAGTAATTATAACGCTCTAGCAACGATATTGGAACGTTCTAGTAACGTAGCAGCTACGTTCCAAATAGTAGCAGGGTTTATAGCTAGTGACATATTTGTTACCTTTTTGGAACTCAATAATTGTTCCCCACTTTAGTCGTAACTTAGTAATGAAAGAGTAATATAAAGAGACCGGCGACTGTCGCAAAACACTTTAAAGTTTCTTCAATAGTCCCATATACGTAACAAATACTTAAATTGTTGCTTGGGCTTCTGTATTATTTAATTTTAAAGCATTATTATCACATTTTCTTTTATTGAACACCAGGTAGTTGCACTTGTCTTCATTCACTAATAGTTGTCAGGTCACTTTGAGCCTTTTCAAAGACTTCTTTTTCAGTTCCTGTATAAAAGAGTCCCGTATCATCAGCAAAGAGCACCATGTTACCATTTATATCGCACTGAGTAAGGTCATTAATGTACTCCAAAAAAAGCAGAGGGCCAAGCACTGAACCTTGTGGAACACCATCTTATATTTTTCAGATCACTCTTTTCTTGCCCTACAACTGTGTACTGCATGCGAGCAGAGAAATAGCTGGTAAATATTTTTAATGCTCTATTCCCGACCCCAAGTGTTTCAAGTTTCTTAAGTAGTATTTCTGGATCCACAACATCAAAGGCTTTACATAAGTCGAGAAGCACCGCAAGTACGATTTTTTTCTTGTCCAAATTTTTGTATATAAATTCAGTGAGGTTTATAAATGCTGTTTGTGTACTTTTCTTTCTTTGAAAGCCATTTTGATTTCGGCTTAAAAATTTCACTTCTTCCAGAAAGTTAAAGAATCATTTCAAAAATCTTTGAGAATACTGAAAGGATTGAGATAGGCCTATAGTTTTCCAAAGACATTCTACTCCATTTTTTATGGACTGGCACTACACGGGCTATTTTTAATATGTCAGGAAATGATGCTTTCTCTAAATGTGTATTTATAATTTTTGATAACACTGGGGCTAAGATATTTTTTAATTTCTTAACAATATTAGTTTTAATACCATCATGGCCTGGACTTGCATTTGATTTCAATTTTTGTATAATTAATGCTATTTCTTGTTCACTTGTGTACTGTAGGTAGAGTGATTGAGTGGGGCTAAATTTAAGTGTACATTTTTTGTTTTTTTGGGGTTTAATTATATTTTCTACGATGCCTATGAAGTATTTGTTTGCTTCGTTAGCAATATTTTTGTAGTTTGTAATTTCTTTGCCTTTCTTTTTTCCTACCAGTTTTTTTATCACATCCCATTGTTTTTTTGGGATCCCATCTGAATTTTGAAATTGTTTTTTAATGTGCATTTTTTTATTTTGCTTTATAAGTTTTTTTACATGGTGTCTTAATCTTTTAAATTCTAATTCATACAATTGATTTCTTGGAAACTTTTTAGTTTTTTTTGTACATTTTATCTCTTTCTTTAGCCTTTTCTTTTACTTCTTCTGTATACCAGCCTTCTTCAATTGATTTGGTAAACTTCCTTATTTTATTTGTTGTGTTTTCTTGTATCATTTTGTTTAGTATGATTATAAGGTTTTCAAAGCTGTTTACTTCTACTTTTTTAAGGTAATTGAAGAGGCTATTATTTAATTTCTGGTAGTTTACTATTTTTGATATGTACTTTTCTTTTTTTTTTTGTTAAACAGGACTTTTTGGACTCAAATTCAAACAAAATCATTTTGTGGTCTGTATAGTGTTTATCATATAATTTCAGTGGCACTGAAATAGGGAGATCAGTGATAACATGATCTATAATTGTTTTGGTACCTTTTGCTTTATCAAGCCGAGTGGCATGTTTGTCAGTTATTTTATTTAAGATTTTTATTCCATTGTCTCTTAGGAGCTGAACGTATTGTTTTTTTTCTTTATATCGATAGGATGTAGATTTCTTTTGTAAAAGGTTTATGTTAAAATCTCCTGTCATTAATAGATTCTTATTTTCAAGTAGTATTTCATCCAAATGTTTTAAAAAATTGTTAGTATTTGACTTATGTGTTTTATAGACTAGGTTAATTTTTAGGTTATTAATATTAACTATTAGAATATTGTTGTTTTTACATTCATTGTGTACCAGTTCCATATCAAAACATTTTTTAGCATAAATAGATGCTCCACGTGGACTTTTTTTTTGTTTGTCTGGCTGAGTGTAGCCCATTATAACCTCTAAATTTTACATGTTGAGCCTCCTCTTCATAGAGCCAAGTTTCAGAGAGAAAAATAAAATCTGGTTTATGCTGCTGTATAAGAAGTTCTACATCTTCAACTTTGTTTCGCACACTACGAATATTAAGATAGATTGCTGATATTCTTCTGTTATCTAATTCAGATTTAAGTTTTTTTGTTTAATTTTATTCAAAGTGTTTTCTGAATCAACGTGTAGAATTTTACTGTTTTCATCCTTTCTTACCATTATCTTCCCTTGGCTGAACCATACATATTTAATATCTAATTCTTTTTTCAGACTTCTAGCCTTTTTGAATAGATCCTGATTTTCAGGGGTCATATCATGATTTATGTATATGTACTCACTACCCTGTTGGCCAATTTCTTCTTGCTTCAGACCCTTTTTTGATTTGTAGGCTGTGATCAGCTTCTCTTTGGATTCTACTGTTGAAAGAGCTACTTTAAGTAGTGGTTTTTCATCATTTTTTTCTAACTTTTGCACATATTCAATTTCACCGTCTTCAATTTTCACATTGCAGGCATCGCAGGTCGCAGAACAAAAGCTTGCGCAAAGCACCCAGCTGACAAAAGAACCTTGCTCCATCACCACGTCGCGACGCGTCGCGGGGTGCTTTGCGCAAGCGTATGTTCTACGATAATTGTAGACCCGGCTTTACGTTAAATGTTGACCGGGTTGTTTAAAAATTGACCGATTTTGACAATTGAACTTGCAAAATGCTTGTACTGATTGACACTTTCCATTAAAAGTAACAAAAATTTTAAATTAATTGATATAATTTTTTTATACTAGGTATATAAAACGAAAAGTCAGAATTAATTTTTCAAAAAGTGTATTTTTTATTTTTTTTTATCAAAAAGTAGACAGTCCAAACCGCATTATGGCTAAGGAATTATTAGCCAAAAATTTTCGTTAAGAAAATATAATTTTTTTTTTCAAATACGATCGCGTGCTGCTAAATAAATTTAATTTTTAAAGTAAGTTTTATGTGTAATAGCAAACAAATAAGATTGGAATTTAAATTTCATTGTGGTATATTCGTTTTACCACAATGAATTTTAAATTCCATTAATTCAAGAAAATTCGTGAATTAAATAGAAAAGTCTATTAAAATGGTTTTAAAATTTTTAAAAAAAGTCATCGGTTATCAAATTAATGGAAAAAAACTTAAAATCTGTCAAAACCAAAAATGACTTATCTCCATTTTTCATCCAATTTGTGATTTTTATCGCCTACCATATTTTGATTAATTATATACATAGAAGTTACGTAAAGGTAGACTACCTAAGGTAGTACATAACTTGTAGTAAATTTTACTTAAATAAATTCTTGAATGAGCTATTAATAGCTTAAAATTTGCGTCACTAGTTAGGTACTTACTAATTATATATTTAAATATTTTATCGTGCCTAATAATAGGTTAGAACACAATGTATAAATAAAGAAATGTTTTTTTATAAATTTTATTTGAAAAATATTTAAATATAAAATGTAAACTTAGGTATAAAGATAAACTTATAGAGGGTACAAACTTAATCTAAATAAGCCGGTAGCATGATATGAGCTGCTGTTTCCAATGCAGTTACAGACAAATTGGCAAGTTGTTTGGTACTCTTCCACCAGGAAGTTTCCTTTTCTACATTTAACTCACAAGTGACATCTTCTATATCGGTTTTCATTGTTTCATTTTCCATCCGTATTAGCTCCAATCTGGAAATATGATCCGATAACTCCTCCTGCAGTACTTCAACGTGCTGCTCCAGTCTTAGGTTTTGGCTTTTGTAAAGTTCCAGTTGTTCTTCTAAAAACGCGGATTCGCTTGTTTTTGTATCTAGTTGACTTCAAAAATAAACAACATACATTATTTTGGAATATACAATATAAAATATGTATTACATGCAGATACCTATTCAAGTTTAAAAAACCTTTTGTGGAAGTTTTTTTTAGAAAATAAATAGGAATGTTTTCGTTATGACACTAGAGCTAATTAATAATTTACTTATAATCAATTTAAGTTGATAAGTTGACCACGGTTTTATGTCTTAATAGGAACGTCGGATTTAAATTTCGCTTTGTTCCTATTTTTTGCAAAGTTCCTATTTTTTTCTGTAGGAATTTAAAAAAAAACGTACACGGGTGAATATTTCAAAAGTGTAATTTAATCGGTTCTGGCTTGTTATTTCAAAAGTTAATAGCCCACTGAAAATAAAATACTTGATGTCTAGTTTAATTGACTATTTTTACTTGATTCTTTACTTATTTTAGTCTTAACGAGCATAGTAAAAGATATATTTTAATTTTTGTGTCGCAAACGTCATTTTTAAAAAGTGGAAAAATGTCTGTAGTGTAGAAAGAGAAGCAATGCATAGAGAATCCTGTAATGAAGACTCTTGCAAAAAATTAGTGTCTAAAATCGATTATTTGTAGATACTCTATATTGCCTCTGGATTTTCCGAAGAAAGCAAAATGCATAAAGACATTTTTTGGTTTGGATATTGGGTAGGTATAAAAATACCTAGTGATAAAGTTCATAGTTTGTTTTCTTTACTACACAGACAAATATAGCAAATAGGTATTAGAAGCCGTTCATCTGATTTGAGATTAAACCTGGGATATAAATTTAACTAAATATTTACTAGTTAAATATGATACTACCTATATGCATGTATTAATCATTCATTAAGACTAAATCCAAATAACTTAGATCTAAACAATTGAATTTATACCTCTAAACGAATAGGTATTTCTTTTTAATAAATCACAACAATAAGTTGTTTTAAATAAACTTGCGATTTATAACAAAATAATAATATTTTGTTACTACAAATAAGAAAATTTTACTTCGTACAAGAAAACCCGTTTCAAATAAATGCATTTTATTAAATTATTAATTTACTCTCTGTGTACCCCAGTAGCGCAAAGATATTGGCCCAATATTCGTAATAATATTGGGCAAATATATCTTTCGTTAGATTTTTTCTAGCATGGTCCAATATTGAAACCCAACATTGACATTATATAACCGATATTAGAAATCCGCTTTGGTCCGAAGCTGTTTTACATTGTATTCTAGGAAAGTTGAGGGAGAAATTGAAAAAAATCTTTCGTTAGATTTTTTCTAGCATGGTCCAATATTGAAACCCAACATTGACATTATATAACCGATATTAGAAATCCGCTTTGGTCCGAAGCTGTTTTACATTGTATTCTAGGAAAGTTGAGGGAGAAATTGAAAAAAAAAAGATAGCAACCTAGTACTTACTACGTAGTAGGATTTCTAAAAGTGATGTCACGATCGTGTCGACAAACGTTTGTTTTCAGGAAATGTTTATAGTAGGTACTTAGGGGCGTAGAAGCGGGGTGGGGGGCGGGTGACAATGCCCACCCAAATGATAAGGGGGAGAGGGGGGTTACTTGATATAAAATGTACCTCCAAATTCTTTGAAAGTTGTGTACCCTCTATGTTATTTTTAATTACGATGAAATGATAAAATCGTTTGTATCATGTGCTAAAATGATCAGCTTGAGCTTTATTAACGTAATAACGAATTTTATTGCTAATGACAAGAAATCGCATTTAACCCTTCTTATTCTTACGGTAGTATGCAAGAAAGGCCTTTATTATTTTCACCCATTTGGTGCTAAACAATAAGGATGGTACTCGGTTGCGCCACCTTCCAACTTAGTACAGACATATTCTGGAAAGAAACGCGTGTCGTTACATATCAATTACATTGGCAATTATATATTAAATTATCATTTTATGCCAATATAAATAAATCCAATATTGGACCCAGATAAAATATTGGGCATAGACGCGCCCTATATAGGACCAATATTTTGTGCTACTTGGGTTCCGTGTGGAATGGTAGTAAAAGGACCACATCCTGATTTTGGCAGTGTTTTAAAATTACTGTGTTACTATAATAGTTTACATTTAAAATAAATATTCCGCTTCTTACTATAACAGTTTACATTTAATAATAAATATATCTTTGTCAACAATTTGATTTTAAAGTTTGCGAAATTACACGACGTGCAACGTAGGTATACCGCTGAATTTAACGTAGAATTCCAGCCTGATTTATAGTTGGACCTAAACGTAACGTAGACGCAAAGGAGACCATAAGAAACGGAATGTAAAAATTCATTCAATTTATAAATCGATGGAGCAGAATTTTTGCGCGTGCGTAGTTCTATTCTTTTTTAAACAATTAGTAATTAGTAATTAAGTTATGGGGAAAACAAACAGAACATGAGCAAAACAAAAAATGGAGGAACAAGCCAGGGACCCGGACCGGACCGTTTTTCGACAGAAAACCGGACCGGAACCGTAACCGAACCCATATTATTTTTAAATGTAACTCTAGAGACCGAACCCGAACCCTTTAAATATAAAACTGGTTTTTAGATTATTTTCGGATTTATTCTTAATTTCATTTTGCAAAAATTAAAAAAAATATATTTTGCTTCGTTAAAAAAATCTATAAGTTTTTGCAAAAAAATATTTGAGTGGGCTATAAATCTATAAATTATACACTCTAATACAAGTATTGTAAGGGGTACCTGATGTGATAATAACAATTGTAAATGTATAAATAATTATTGTAAATGTAAATAAAAATAATTTTATTAAAAAAAAAGATGTCCTATGTATAAATAATACTAGGCAACAATGTAATTAATAAACTACACACACTACAAAATATGTTGAAGAATGATTTATTAAAATGACTAGCATGGGTGGTAGGTACACTTGTAGTGGGGATTTATTAATTAGTGTTGCCCAATATTATGTATACATATTAGGGTGCTTCAAAAAATAAATTTTAATTTTTTTTTCGCTCTTACCCTCTCAAATGTTTCTATTTAATATAAAAAAAATCCTCACCAAATATGGGCGTTCCAGCTAAACTCTAAGAGGTCGATGTTTTTATTTTAGTTTCCCATTTAATTAACATGGGGAAAAATAATTTTATGTTTGGAATTTTATACCTCTGTATCAACGTAACTTATGGCAATGATCATTGTGGTCGACCGGAAGAAACGGAGTGGAGCAACTCTTCCGTTCCGTTTCCGTTACGTCTGCCCCTGGCGAAAATAAAGCGTGCATGAAAAGTGTGCAATAAGTGTGTATTTGGAGTGCAAGTCTTTATAACAATGTGCATACACGCTACTTTGTGGTAATTTCCCACTTTTTGAAATAATTAACTTTTTTCACTCTTTATGTACATTGACATCACGCTTTTTATTTGTCATATGTCACGATATTACATTATATTTTAGCACATTGTTTGCACAGTGTTAGTACATTTTGCAAAGCTTCAGTCTATCTTACGCATGCCACATTTTATACACACTGTTAGCACGCTTTAATATTTCTAATTTATGACGCTTATATTACACCTTTTTATAGCACATTGTTTGTACAGTTTTAGCGATCACTCCAACAGTTTAAGCACATTTTAGATATATCTCGCTTGTGTTGGGGTACAACATTCATTTAAAAGGTGAGGTAGATTCCATCTTATGTATCGCTTCTCGGCTTATTGCTAAGATCAAAGCAATCCCCGTCGTGGAGTTGACAGTGCAGGTATTTTTCTTAATAAAATACAGTATGTAGGACCTACACTGTGGGTATTTTTTTTTTGAATTTTTTTGAAAAAAAAATATTTATTTGATTAATATTATTATAAGGATATTTATATTTCAATTATTTGTAAATTTAAGACTTTATAGGTCACCAAAAAGAATGTATTTTTGTAATAGGCACACAGGTGTCAAGAAACAGTGTGCAAACAATGTGAAAAATCAAAAGGAGTTCTCTTTAGAACATGGTCCAATGATTATTAACACTTTTAAATTTTTGGTTTTGCACATTGTTTCATGTTCCATTTCCCAACCTCCGCATCATTTTTTAAAAGATTGCACATTGTTCTCAAATAATTTTGCACACTTTTTGCACATTTCATTTTCGCCAGGGGCGTTTACGTTCATTTATAAACAAGAGTACATCAAATCTATAGTTTTGGAGCAAACATGCAAAAACCGATAAATCTATTTTAACATTTTAAGAGAATATATTCTAACTAATTTCGGTTAAGCATTTTGACTTATAAAGTTATAAAGTTATAAAGTGCTCTTTTAGTTCCACCCTTACATCCAAACTAAGATGTCCCATAAGCCAACTGAATGGCTTGTGCGGGTTAGGGGTAGGAACGGACCGACGGCTTAAAGTCCCCTCCGAAGGACTTAGCACAGCATTTTAAGTAAAAACCGAAACAGAGAGGACCCAACAGGAGCAACATCCCCTTTTAATAGTTTTTAATTATTTGTGGGACTCTGCTGTACACATTTTTGGCCAATATCTCAAAATAAGTTAAAATGGATTTATCGGCTTTTGCATGTTTGCTCCACAGTTGACCTTTTTACTACATGTCTGCAATTGCACTTTAGAACATACGTTACGTCTTACTTAACAGTTGTTAAAGTAGCCTGTTACAGTAACAATTTCCAAAAAAAAATTGGAAAAATATGTTATTTAAATGAATATTAATAAAACAAAATTTTAATGTTGAATTATTTTAAAATTTGGTTTTTCTGAGCAAAAGTTTTACGCCATCCTGACATATTTGCGTGTTAGTTAGTTTGTTTCTTCTATCCTATCTTATCTTGTACAATTATTGGCAAAACTTTTCTAAAGCCGGAAGGGCAATTTATGGCCAAGTTTTCGCCTGATATGGGTCTCTGGGTTGCATAAAAATAAATTAAATAAGTCTTACCACAATAAATCTTCATACTCTAATTGCTTTTCATCGTAAATGTTTTTAGTATTTTTTAAATTGTTTGTAGTCAAATTTAAAGAGTTTTCCAATTGTTCCATTTTTAAATTTATTGTTTTTATCAACATGCCTTTTGCGTCGACCTAAAATATTTTTTAAAGAATTACTTTCCTCATTTAAAAAACCGGTTTATATACTATAATACTTTATAGTTTAAATAAAATAAAAATAATAAAGGTATAATAAAAAAACTGAAGATTTTGTACAAAAGGTACACCTTATATTTTAATTATAACTATCCATTTACATGAAAGGCTAAGAAGCCTTGATTTTTAAGTATACTAATAAATAAATACCGGATTTTGGGCCCTTAAAAATTGGAAATTAGGACGCATAAATAGGCAATAAAAACCTATATTTTGGGCCGTTTTAGGCCGAAAGTGCCTAAAATAGGCCTCAACCGCCTAAAATATACGATATAAAATAAAAGCAACACGATTAAACATAAAATTTATTCAGGTAATAAAAATAAAACAAAAAATACATATGTATCTCTTAATATAAAATACATAATAAAAATAATAACACAAACTATTGCAAACAATTGCCCGTATGAATAAAAAAAGAAAATATATTGGAATAAACAGGCGACGCTGAATAAAAAATATAAACAAATACAAAAAAAACACGATACATTGATTCCAACGGTTGTCAAACATATACTTACAATGTAAGTCTATATAAGTCTTACATATACTTACTGGTATATGTTGTGAAAGTTGGCTTTACTAAAGCCGCTTTAGCCATCTATTATCTTTATAGAAAAACTATTTACAGGTGGTAAATTGTGGAGAGTTATTTAATTATGCCTTAGATGGCGACAAAACTGTTAAAAAGTCATACTTGTGGTTCTAGGGTTAATATTATCCATAATTATTTATAATAAATATTTAGATAGCAAAAATACAATTACTTTTTTATTAGGTTTTTACTAGTTTTGTAATTTGTGGTCCTCGTACTCGCCGAGGGCGTCTAGGTGAAATAAGAGCATGAAAGTAGGGTCTAATTAAAAATAATTTACTTTTCCGCAATGAAAAATATATTTTAGGCGCATAAAAATGTCCTTTTAGGACAATAAATTCATATTTCGCCATTTTAGGCTTTTAGGCAATAACAAAGGCATTTTGCCTAAAATCCGGTCCTTGCTTATAAACGTTGATTTTTAAATAAATAAATTAATCCAAAGTTCATTAGTGAAATAATGTCAGTTTAATATTTTTTTAAACAGAACTTGAAGACCAAGGGTGCATACAGGGGTGGAATTTCGCCCAGAGCTGAGCTGGAATATTTTTTATTCGACGACAACATTGAAAAGGACGGCTTTTCGTAGTAGGCCAAATCATTAAAACATACGTCTTCACAACTGCTGTGATTTTTTGTGAATTTATGCATTAAAATATTGTTCATGGATTAATCTTTTATAAAACTTCTGATAATTTTCTAGTGCAATTTTAGTTTAAATTAAGCCCTAAAGTGAAATGTTCAGGTTTTAGTTTTTATAGTTTCAAAGTTTAACTTGGTGACATCCGTCAGTTATTTTCTAAAAAATTATTGCTTTATTGTGGTCGTCGGTAAAATGGCGTTCTTAACTAGGTGCAGGGTATCCCAAAAATTGGGCAGTATAGCTATACCACGGTGTAGAAGTTATTTTACGTATACAAAAAATTATAAATAGTAGTTTTTAAGTATACTGCCTTAGTATACTAAGGCATACCTTAGCTTTAAAATTTTTTATTTTGGATAGTTTAATGTTGTTAAGACTATTTATTTATATAATTAATTAATTAATTTGTATTTGGATAATTTTAATGGACTCTTTTTTGCAAAAAAGACCCAGAAAATCAGTGTTAAAAAAAAATAAACGGGATTTATAACACTTTCAATTTATTTATGCAATCATCGGTTCAGAACTCTTAAAACTACACGCGATAAAATTTCCAATCCAGGCACAATCCTTTGGAATAAATTATCCTTGGTTAATTACAGGTCGATTTTTTATTTTATCAATGGTAATCCCTAGCAATCGCTGCTTTATGTCGCTGCTAACATGTGACAAATAAAAAAATAAACTTTGCACACCCAGTTTTTAATTTATATTTTTAAAACTCAGCTCTACGTAATAATATAATATAGTTACTTAATAACTATTACCTAGTTATTATGAAAGAGCAACTTAAGACTCAAATTTAACTGTATAATATTTAATTTTAATTAATGTTTATGATTTTTAAAACGACAAAATTTTAAGCAAGTTTAAAAGTGAGCTAAATCCACCCGTGTTTACGGTACACAATTACATATACAACTTCAATGAGGAGATCCATTCCAAAACTCGGCTTATCGACTTTTTAATAAAAATGAGTTGGTGGTGTCTGTACATTTAACATGTATCCCCCTATACCCTAAAAAGTTCATAATATTCTAAAACTCACCTTATTCTATTCTATCGTTCCCAGGGCCGGATTTAGCATGGGGCCAGCGGGGCCGCTTATCCGCTTGCAAATCAGAATGTAAATTATCACACTCAAAGTTTTGGCCAGCGAAGACTTTTTTATATAGTCTATATTTTCCGGTGTTTCCAAAATACTGTTTCGTGCTTTTCATTGGACAAAAGATTGTTTTATTGTTTGATTTTGTATGAAAAATAGACAAATAATACTTTTGATGCACTTTTTTAAATTTGCGTAGTATTACAAATACAAACAAAACATAGATCAATTTATATTTTACTTACTCAAGAGTAAAATATATATAAGGTTATGTTCGTATTATTCAAAATATATAAAATATAAGTATATAAAAACACTTTCATTCACAATTCTATTCTACTATCTATGTTTTTGCTATGAAAATGCTTCATTATCGAGATACAGGGTGTTTTGTTTAAAAAAAATTAGTTTTTTATTTATAGCTTAAAAACGCTTTGGCCGATTTTATTAAAATTTATATGGTTTATTAAATAATAAATGTTTCAAGGATAATAAAAAATCACGTAAAGCTCCTCTACCTTAAAAATTTACCATGAGTTTTAATTTCCCAAGTGTCAAAAATTTTAGAAATATTGAGGCCTCCCACCAAATTCGGCCCCAGGGCCTCAAAACTCTTAATCCGGCCCTGGCCATTCCAAAACTTGCCTTATATATTGGTTATATCATGCAGAACTCGGCTTATACGAATGTAATTTTAAATTGAAGCTATACCATTTTAATCAAGGTAGGTATATAAATGTTTTACTAAAAACTGACGTTTACAGAATTTAAATGTCACTTTTAGTTTTCGAAATAATTGGCCTGGGAGTTTATATACAGGGTGTTTCATAATATATGCGCAGGACTTCAGGATGTGATAGCTCATCCAAAAAGATGAAAAAAGTCGCTATTAACTTACCCTCTAAAATGCACAATTTTCGAGATACAGGGTGTTGAAATTTTGGAAAAAAAATCGTTTTTTTCGATTATCTCTGGAACCGTTTATCGTACAAAAAACAGCTTTTGTAAGCATTTTCTACTCATAATAAGCTATGTTTTGTGCCAGAAAAAAATTTTTTTCCTCATAATTGGTGGAGATTTTGAAGGGGTAGCGGGTGTTTTTCTCCTCAACTTCTACGCCCCTGAAAAAAGTACGGTTTTGAGAGGCTCATTCAAACTGCTAATGTTTTCTAGACAAAAAAGGTACTCTTGGTTACAAGCTCTAAAGTTGACCGTTTTCGAGAAAAATCAACTTTTATGTTTAAAAACATGGTCAATTTAAAAAAAAAATATTTGTTTTTTTACTAATTAAACAAAATTTATTTTAACGTTAGAACAAGTAACAAAACCAAACCATAATTGCAAAATAAAAAATGATTCAAAAGTTGTCTTTGCTAAATTCTCCAAACCGTAAAGGTAACGCATTTCGCACATTTCAGCATTTGTGTAAAAAATCATTTTTTATTTTTTTTTTAATTTTGCAATTATCGTTTGGTTTTGCTATTTTTTCTAACGTTAAAATAATTTTTGTTTAATTAGCAATAAAAATTTTTTTTCAAAAAATTGACCATGTTTTTAAACATAAAAAATGATTTTTGTTGAAAACGGTCAACTTTAGAGCTTTATGACCAAGAGTACCTTTTTTGTGTAGAAAACATTGGCGGTTCGAATGGGCCTCTCAAAACCGTACTTTTTTCAGGGGCGTTGAAGTTGAGGAGAAAAACACCCGCTATCCCTTCAAAATCTCCACCAATTATGAGTAAAAAAAATTTTTTCTGGCACAAAACATAGCTTATTATGAGTAGAAAATGCTTACAAAAGCTGTTTTTTGTACGATAAACGGTTCCAGAGATAATCGAAAAAAACGATTTTTTTTCTAAAATTTCAACACCCTGTATCTCGAAAATTGTGCATTTTAGAGGGTAAGTTAATAGCGACTTTTTTCATCTTTTTGGATGAGCTATCACATCCTAAAGTCCTGCGCATATATTATGAAACACCCTGTATATATATATATACACAACTGTTTAAAAAATATGTTTGAATAATACAGGATGTAGGTGGCGCCACTTTGCAAAGAATTTTTTCGGATTTTTATATTTTTTTCGGATTAAGCAACTAAAAATATCCTTTTTTTGTCTGTTAAATTGTTTTAATATCTGCAACATTACAGGAACATTACAATTAAATTAATATGAATTATTATAATAATAATTATTTATCCGTAAGCCATAGGCCTATAATCTGGATATAGTATATATATATGTATATCAAAAACAATAGGTTTTCTACTTTACGCAAGTAGTAGGCAACCAATATTGCAAATAATGAAATGCCTTCCATCTCGCCACCGAGCCGGGCTCGAAGCGCGTCTCCCGAATGGTACGGTCCAATGACTAATGCACCATACCCACCAACACTGACAGACAGCCTATTTCGACCTGTTGGGTCTCATCAGTGTCAGGCAGTCGGTGACGGGAGACACGCATCAAGCTCGGCACTGTTCACTTATAAAGACATAAGTGACCAGGACAGCGGCGAGATGTATCGGCAAGTCAGTCTGGAGACATCTACCGTCTAAAGACGTGGCCTCGCTGTGCGGCGTGCAATCACAATCGTTTTTCCGTTAATGTGAGGGTAGGCATCATATATGGTATGTTAATTGGACCATTTATTTTACCAAATCGTTTAAACGGCGATGATTACCTCCAATTTTTGCAAAATATTCTTCCTGTTTGCTGGAAGATGTACCTGAAAATGTAATACGCAACATGTGGCTATTGCACGATGGGGCGCCGCCTCATTTTACGCGTAAAGTTAGAGATTTTTTGAATGAACAATTTCCTAATCAGTGGATGGGTCGTATAGGCCAAGATCGCCGGATCTAAACCCTTTGGATTTTTACTTGTAGGGTGGTTGAAAAGCTTAGTGTTCAAAAACCCAGTACTCTCGAAGAATTAATAGCACGAATCGAAGATGCATCTCAAATAATTCGCGGAAAACCTATTACAAATATGAAAAAATGTTTTAAACAAAATCTACCTATTTTTAGTTGAATGATCCGAATCTGCAATAAAAAATAGAGTGTTCAATTGGAAATTTTAAAGTTAGCCCCTGTTCCCCCTATAAGGAGGAGAGTATGAGGACCAATTTTAGTACTGATTGATTTCCCCCCTCGAATCATTTAATTTTTATTTTAAACATTTGTTCGTAAAATGCATACTAACTGAGATATTTCAAAGTTTCAAGTTAAATGACTATATTTCGTTTAAAGTATTCTGTTGGCCTGATATGAGTTAGTAGGTCACATGTAAGGTTTTTTACATTTTGCTAAAAAACAACTAATATGGATAAGCCGAGTTTTGGAATGCACCTCCTTAAATAAGTAATTAAAAAATTAATAATTAAAAATTAATTCTTGTAATTATTAAGGTTAATAATATTTATATAATATATTATAATACTACATGTTATGTATATTATATGAATAGTATGCATATTATATACTTATTAATAATAATAAGTTATTATAAATGCAATATATTATAGTGTCTATCATCAGACCATCTGTGGTGGTCTGTGTCTATCAAAAAAATTCCTAATGTGTTACTATTTATGGTAAATTCCACCTGACGGAGTTTAGACTGGGTTATTATTGTCTAAAATGTATACATTTTAATTGCAATTATCTTTCACGAAAAAATGGTTTGTAAAGACTATGCTTAAAAAAACACCATCACAATACGAAACAATTTAAAAACTAGTTTTTGCTAATTTTGCTATAGTGCTATAATAATCTATTAGATGTTAAAAAAAAATTGCGTGCACACGCCTATAGGCGTTACGCCCATATTTCAACATTCAATTTTCATATGAGAATTTTATTGAACCATTTATGGAAGTTTAAAAATTAGATAAAAGATAAAACAAAATTTAACA